TGCCCATCTGAGCGATCCCTTTAAACACCTGTGTATTATTATAAACCATGCAAAGTTGGCAGCTACTGGAGGGCCTCAGACCATTAGGAGCCCCAAAAGTCCAGCTTCTCTGTGCGCCTTTGGTTTGTAGCAATTTTCTTTTTTTAGTACATTTTAATTGAACTTTTATAGTAATTTGAGGTTGGAAAACTCTGTGGAAAATGAAGGCTGGCCTAGAGAAAAACATTCAAAGATGCAGACGGTTCAGTGGGGGCCCCAGTTTTTGCCTCAAGGCCTCTAATCAGGACAATCTGCCTTAATCCTTAATGAAGGAAAATGAGGGAGCAAAGTAAAGACGGGAAGGATCCTGGAATATATAATGTTTTATTTTATTTATTTGGACTTAATTATGTCAAATCTTTATTGTCTTGGTTTAAGCCAATAACTAATCACCAGATTCATGATGCAAACTGATTGAATTTAGTTTCTTTTTGATGTCTTTTCAAATGAAGCCCACTTTAATTTGACTGATTCAGACTGACAGTGCTGTCTAAAGTCTCATTAAAAAGTTCCTGTACATTTTCTTTGGGAGCAGCAGATTAGAGAGTCCACTCATTCTGCTGATCTCACTACTTGTCCTACATCTGTTCCTGGATGCCAGCACCATGCCCTTCCTCCTCCAACTGTCTATCTGGCACGATGCCAACTTTCCTCTCCTATTACCTAACCCCTAGCCTCCTCTGTCCTCAGCAGGGGACGATTGTTTTGTTTTGTTGAGCGCACAGTTCAGTATTAAAGGGGGTAGTTAGTGTTCTGTCTCAGCTCTGGGTGTGGCTGCACCTTTCATATTTTTTACCTCTGACATTCAGACATCAGACTTTGTAAACCTCTCCTGCAGAGATGACCACCCACCCACACACTCTCACACACACACACCCACACACACACACACTCACTCGCAGCCCTCTGGGAGAGGAAACAGAAGCAGAAAAGCCATTTGCTGCCCACCACGTTGTTATGGAAACTGGTCTGACATGGACTCAGTGTTAAAATGTGTTCCATGGCCGCTCGTTCAGGAGGCTTTAGTCTGGTTTAATGTCAGTTCAGAATTAACAATGTGTGTTAGATAAGCGGCTCCATCTCTTTATTGATCACCATGCAGCACTGATGTATTAATACCTCACGGCCATCTTTTCTCTGATTAGTTAATTTATAATGGAATCATCCATTTCAAACCATGGATAGAAACATATTGTCTAAAATGACAATCTCACACAAGTTTATGAAGTTAAATACACAAATTGACATTTTTCTGCACCTTTGCTTTGCAAGTTCATTCATTTCTTTAATTAATCTTCTTCAATACTAGCAAGAACTTCCTCAAAAAAGTCTTCTATTAATATGCAAAAGAGGATTTTAAGAAAGAACATCTAAGTTGTAGTTTTTGGCCTTACTTTTGATTCATGATTTTAAAGCATTCAAACAAATAGAAACTCACATCTGTAAACCTGAAGTCCTGTTTCTACCTCCTTGGATGCAGCCAAGACACAAAAACAAAATAAATATTTTTGTAAACTTTCAGCCTTCATCACTGTGTTACTGCTATGTTGTGTGGTTGAAGTAATATATGATGTAACTGGGAAGTGAGTGACACAGACGGAGTATCCAATAAATGATCCTGAAACGTTTCAGCTTCACAAATGCTGAATTTAAAACTGAAGTTCATAATAAATGATTTTTCAGAGTCAACAAATATAATAAAGAGTAAGGTGAGGTGTTAAGCTTTAACATATGTTTGGAGACTGACATTATGATATACCGGCCCATTAGCCCATTAGTTATGATGTTGATTAGATTAGATTATTTTATTCAAAGGTGCAGAGAAAAAACACACAGCTTTGTGCAACTTACAATAAACAGCACAACCACATAAACCACCAAGTAAAGCATAAAAACATAATAAATACAAATATAAAGACTAAAGGCTAACATAACTCAAAAGGTGTTGTCTCGTGTGAATCACTCTGAATTACCTTGTTGCTGAAATGTGACATAGAAATAAACTTGTCTTGCCTTATTATCGGTCAAATTCCTTAAACTCTGGATCGGACATTTTCCATTAAACAACAGTGTAATGCAATCGTGTTATTTTTTTAAATTGTACTTTACTGTGATAATTGCCTAAAAATCTTCAGGTGCAAACTTTTCAGAATATTTTATTTAAATCTCTGAGCTCAAACATGACATTTTGAAGGCATCATTAGGGTTCCCTTCCACAATCTCAGTTTGCCTATTGGTGACGACAAACTTAACTAAAATAACTATAAAATATTCTGTTTATGTTAGTCTCAGATAGCTCTTGACAACAACAACAAATCACTGTTATTAAACTTTCACTAAAATGTGTTTCTTACAACTATAATCTGTCATCATTTTCTGTTTCTATCCTTCACCACTTGTGCTGTATGAATGCAGTAATATCTGAGTTTCCTAATGGGGATTGATAATCACATCCTACAGTAGACACACTGATATACAGTGGGTACGGAAAGTATTCAGACCCCTTTACATTTTTCACTCTTTGTTTCATTTCACAAAAGAATTTCTGCAGCACTCAAGGTTCCTAAGAGCACAGTGGCCTCCATAATCCTTAAATGGAAGAAGTTTGGGACGACCAGAACTCTTCCTAGACCTGGCCGTCCAGCCAAACTGAGCAATCGTGGGAGAAGAGCCTTGGTGAGAGAGGTAAAGAAGAACCCAAAGATCACTGTGGCTGAGCTCCAGAGATGCAGTAGGGAGATGGGAGAAAGTTTTACAAAGTCAACTATCACTGCAGCCCTCCACCAGTCGGGGCTTTATGGCAGAGTGGCCCGACGGAAGCCTCTCCTCAGTGCAAGACATATGAAAGCCTGCATAGAGTTTGCCAAAAAACACATGAAGGACTCCCAGACTATGAGACAGAAGATTCTCTGGTCTGATGAGACCAAGATTGAAGTTTTTGGCTTTCATTCTAAGCGGTATGTGTGGAGAAAACCAGGCACTGCTCATCACCTGCCCAATACAATCCCAACAGTGGAACATGGTGGTGGCAGCATCATTCTATGGGGGTGTGTTTCAGCTGCAGGGACAGGACGACTGGTTGCAATTGAAGGAAAGATGAATGCGGCCAAGTACAGAGATATCCTGGAAGAAAACCTCTTCCAGAGTGCTCAGGACCTCAGACTGGGCCGAAGGTTCACCTTCCAACAAGACAATGACCCTAAGCACACAGCTAAAATAACAAAGGAGTGGCTTCGGAACAACTCTGTGACCATTCTTGACTGGCCCAGCCAGAGCCCTGACCTAAACCCAATTGAGCATCTCTGGAGAGACCTGAAAATGACTGTCCACCAACGTTCATCATCCAACCTGACAGAACTGGAGAGGATCTGCAAGGAAGAATGGCAGAGGATCCCCAAATCCAGGTGTGAAAAACTTGTTGCATCATTCCCAAGAAGACTCATGGCTGTACTAGCTCAAAAGGGTGCTTCTACTCAATACTGAGCAAAGGGTCTGAATACTTATGACCATGTGATATTTCAGTTTTTCTTTTTTAATAAATTTGCAAAAATGTCTACATTTCTGTTTTTTTTTCTGTCAAGATGGGGTGCTGAGTGTACATTAATGAGAAATAAAATGAACTTTTTTGATTTTAGCAAATGGCTGCAATGAAACAAAGAGTGAAAAATGTAAAGGGGTCTGAATACTTTCCGTACCCACTGTATATACCTCACTGCTCACAAATGTTACAACCCTGCATTAATAAAGAAGTTCTACTTTATACTAGTTGTAAAAGTTCTTTGTAGACAATTCAAAGTTTAGAGATTGTGAAAACCAGTGGCTTAACCAGTAAAAAGGGTCCTGGACCTCAATATGATCATACTCACTTGCAACAGCAGAATTGTCTGCTTAAGTGAAAAATGAGTCTACAATTAAGGTGATTAAGTCATATATTTACAATCAAATATAACTTGAGTTAAAACATTTAGTTAATTGTGGGAGTCAAAACAGTCATCTTGTCTAAGTGCTTTAAAGTGGGACGAGTTAATTTCGGTAAAAAGGGAACATTGAATTAAAACCTCATGACAGTTTCGGGGCTTTCAGTCACAATGGATGGCCACATTCAGAGCTCATTTAAAGAAAAAGTACTAAAAAGCCTATACTAAAATTGTAATTCAAGATGTGATGACGTTTTCGTAATCAATCAATAGATTTGTATCTTTATAGTGCCAATCACCTCAGGGTTATCACAGGACACTTTACAAAAACAGCAGGTCCAGACCACTCTGTCATACTCTTTGTTGTACAGAATATTATTTAGAGAAAGCTGACGTAAATCCAGCATGAGAAAAAACATATTTATAACAGGCAGAAACATTGAGCAGAACCAGACTCATGTTGAACATCCATCTGCCATGAGCTGAGAGAGAGAAACAGACAGAGACACAAAGTATAACCAGTAACAAACACATAATACAGACATGTGGTTACAATGTCAGTAATTGTAAAATGACATGTTATATCAGCAATAAGAACTAAAATACTGATAATAGAAGTGGTAGGAAGAAATAAACTCTAATGAATTAATGGAAACCATTCTAAATGAAATAAGTTACGCAAACACAAATCATTGATTAATGTCTAACAGTAGAGTACACTGCCGTCCTGCTCCACAGGGTAAAATACATCTCGCAGTTTATGGCATACGTCCCTGTAGTTTGGGCTGGTGTGTGCGGGGTGAAACAGCTGAGACTCTATTAAATATTTAAAATGTGTGGGTATGTGCAGCGCAGGGTGTGGTGCTGAAGGGACAGCGCCCTTCATTGTTGGACTGGGTGTGACTGTGAGGGAACTCTCCATGGTGCTGATCCCCCTCCTGACCTCCAACTTTGATCGGACACGCCCCCTCAGACACACAGCTGTATGACATCTCCCACTTATTGAAATGACACAACTCACAGTCTAACTGTCAGGCAGCTCAATGTACACTGATGGACGATCTGTAGTTTGGAAAACAAGAAAGGAGCGATCATTTCCGGATTGATCACATCTGAGGCGCTCACACAGTCTTCAGGTAATTTCTCATCGAGGAACATCCTCCTCCTGTAGCCTATTGGATCTTTCTAGTGACAAAGCTCCACTGTGAGTCTCTCTTATATGCTGACTTTTAACTCAGGATTGGCTGCAGGCTGGAGGATGTTGACTCATGAGTAAGCAAATCAAAACTGTTTGCTGATCAGTAGGAGGATCATAGACTAAGAAAACAGCGGATTGTCTCGTATTTACCTCTAATATTTACGGCGTCCCATTCTCTCCAGTGGGAGTATTTTCATGCACCATTAGCCTTACAGTTTTTTTTTTTTTTGCTCTTTTGTCACAGTGCGACCACCTGCGCGTGAATCCAGAAAAGGCGGTGGCTGTCCAGGAAAAAAAAATAAAAGCAGCTGAGTGTGAGCATCTGTGCATCTACTCCCCGGGAAACCTTACCTCTCTTCCCCCCTTCTCCAAAGCCAGTAAGGCATGTCGACCGCCGGGGAAGTACCAGCCTTTTTTAAGAGCATGGGTTCGGACAGCCCAGCCAGGCCGAGGCAGCAGTTCTGTGGCATGTTTTGCCCAGTGGAAGGCTCCTCGGACAGCAAGACGCTGGACTTTGATGCCTTCTCGGCGTGCAAAGGAAAGCGTGACAGCCGAGTCATTGACCGGCAGACCGACATCTCTCAACCGAAGAAGGTGGAGATCCGGGAGAGCACCGGGAAGGAAGCTCTGCAGAATTTGGATGATAAGAGGGTAAATTCATCTTTCATTTTCATGCTTATTTTTCAGTTCGTGTTTTTTTGCCCCTTTCTCTCTGGCTGTCATTTCTATTTTAAGCATTCATATTTGTTGCACAGATCTGCACCATCTTGATCTAAGTGTTTTTACCCCTGCCACCCACTCACTTGAGTTTATTTTATGCTGACAACCGATGTACACCAGACCAGACAACTTGCCATGACTACATTACCCAGAAAACCCTGTGATGTAATAGAGGAGAGGGCCCACTATGCAGGGCTGCCAGAGGGAGTGGCTCCTGTTAGTTGGTTTCTGTTTGATCCCCTCTTATAATAAAACCCTGTGCCCATGGTCTGCTTTTGCATTGCTGCAGTGCCCTTAAGCCAAAACACACGCAGTGCCAACAGGTCTGAAACAGAGGGAAAAAAACAATAAAACTGTTATCCTGGTTCTAAAGGGACCCACGCATGTGCATGTGCATGGCTGCAGCATCCCTGTGCCTGAGCATTTAGGTCTTTATCAGCAGATTTCAGGGTGTGGACCTAATGGAGACACGGCAGCTCTGACTTGCATGACTTGCAGGAAAATCTGTAAACTTTTCTTCTGCTGGTTCAAACTCATTATCCAGTATTTACAGCCGGTTGCATGGTGAACTATGGAAACATAAGTACCACTAGCTGCCTTTACTTAATATTTCAGCACTCAGGATGCTGTTAAAAGCTTTGTGTAGTGTGTTGAACCCTGGTATCATATTACATTATTGATCTGAAGCATTGGCCAAACAATCCACCCTTTACCTACACTCTCTTATCTCTCAGTTATATCTACTTAAGTCCAACGTGTGTAGTAGATTCCTCCCTGATAAAATAATCCCTTTGACATGATTTAACAAGATCAAATAAATAACGGGACGTTTAAAAGCTCTCAAACTGTCCAGGACCAAGCTTTGTACTAATATGACGTAAGCAGACTGCATTGATGGAAAGTAACAAAGTACAGTCACTCAAATGCTTTGCTACAAGTGTAAAAAAAAAAAATCCAATCACTCAATAAATTACTTTGTGTTATAGTTGTAATTTTTATAATATAAGACTGGATGGATCACAGATAAACTTCCCACAAGTTTATTGATGAAAAGCCCCACCTTTACATGCTGTATACATTATTCTGAAGTCGGCCACTCAGCATAAAAAGTACTTTTACAGTCAGTGCTCACAATGTGGGCTACATTTTGATGGTCATACTTTTATACACGTTAAACAATAAATGGATGAATTGAACTTCTATGGAATTATATCCACAGTGACATTGCTTTCGTACCAAATGAACCAAGATCTTCTTTTAGTTCTATCACACAGCAAAACTCCATCCAGATGAATGTTGAGCTTTTGATTAAATCCACTTGGCTCTCACAGAGCTGTTCTGTTTTTTTTAATTTTTTTTTAAAGCCCTTAAAGCAACACTATGCAACAAAAAAATCAGGTTTTTTTTTTTGCTTACTCACATTATCACCTGTCTAGACCCAGACTTGTGTTATACTAACTCTCAGATGTACTTTATCTTGGACGAATTGTCTGCTATATGAGATTGTTACATTGTTAAAATGAGAAAAGTCAGGTATTTTATTTCACGTGAAAAGTTGCACGTGTACAAGATGACTGCACCTTCTTTAACAATATAGGCCGACAGTCTTACTGCCTGACTTGATGTGGTACAAGAAATAAATAATGTTCTGCTGCTTAACAAATACTGTAATGCTAGTATTACCTTTCTATAGCTCTGTAACTGACATCACTCACTCAGCTGACTGATTTTATGAACTGTTACATACTTGTACACTACTTTAAGAACTGACTATTTTATCTACTGGACGTCCAAGAAGTTTAAAAAAAACGATAAAGTCTCTCTTTAATGGGAACATAATGTGCCAAATCTAATCTAAAAAAGGTTACAATGACTTTTCTGAATGGTAAGCATGATTTACTGTATCAATGCATGTCAGATTTACTTGATTTGATGTTAGGCCTATTAATCAGTAAGAAAGACACAACATTTAAATATGATTCTTGTTGATCCCTCAAATCATCACTTCTCGTTTCTGCTCACATTTCCAAAACATTTTGGGACTCTTGTGTGACAGGTGTGACTGGTGGAAAAAGCTGAAATAAACATAGAAAAGGAACTGAGCTGTTGATGGCATCCCCCTGTTCACTTAGTGATAGTTCACTTTCTCCAATAAAAGTGAGATTTTAAAAAAGAAGCAGAAGAAAGTGTGAAGAGTTAAGATGGCTGCTGGCTGTTCTTCGTTTGTTCACTTGCTGCACTCTCTTGCCTTCACTAATCCAGGGAGAGCAATTGATGGCATTAGTGGCTCTTTCCTGTCAATGAAGCAGGGCGAGGCTCTGCGCATGCTCCGTTGGGCTCTTTTATGGGGAAGAGGCTCGCGAGTGGTCCCTCCCTCCCTCCCCTCTTGTCTGACTCCGTCTGAGAAGGAAAGCTTTTGGTGCATCGGCGGAGACCGGGAGGCTGCCAGGACGCGATCTGGAGCTGAGACTGACTTTGATTCTTTACGTTTGAGGCCTCCCAAAGGATCAGCTGCGACCTTCCCGGCTTTTTCTTCTTCTTCCTCTTCATCATCATCCTCGTTTGGACCCGGCGAGCGGCAGTAATCCGCACATCCCGTTGCATACATTGCGGTTCCAGGGCGCAGCGCAAGACGAACTACCGGTGAAGATGTCTGGCTACCAGGGCAAGAAGAACATCCCCCGCATCACAGTGAGTGCTGGGATGTGATTCATTTTGAACTAACTCACGTTATATTCAGTCTGGTGTCCGGTGTCTGGTGGCGTGGGCCTGCGGGTGTGGGTGCAGGATGTCACCGGGGCGGCATGCTTTATGCGCCGCTGCGCTTCTCCTCTCATTTTTACTCGGAAGAAGAATAAGTCTACACAGAGGTGCATTGTAATGCATTTTTGCATATCAACTTGCTTATATTTGAAATGTGCTTTCTGCAGACCAAGCCCACGTTAGGATCGATACATTCGTGAGGCCGCCAAGGCTATAAAATGTGATTTTTGCAGCATCTTTGCGACAAGTGCTCCACTCGGGGTTAAACCGAGCTATCACTTGACCTCAAACTGTTCTGTTCTGCTGCAGAATCCCACTCAGCCCTGCAGTCTTTGTCTTTGGTGTCTGCCTACATGACAGTTTAGATTTCACGCCGGTGGTCTTTGTTCGGCGGTGTGTCTGGTGGCCGGGTATCACTGCACAACAACTGCTGGGGCAAATACTTCCCTGTATCCGCCTTAACATTCACTTCCCGACTGCTTTTCCTTTCCCTTAAGCTCTCCTTTCACTTTGGTAAAGCATGTCTTTGATTTAGATTTTGTTTTACGAGGCTAGAAGCGTTTAGTATACATTTAGGGTGTCACTGAGCAGCAGATTATTTCTTTGGATTCATAGCGGAGCTGCTGGGATTGGTGTTTGTGGTTGTGGTTCAATGGAAAGTAGAGAATAGGGAGGGGAAGGGAGGGGGGGCCATGGGAAGGGAGGGGACAGTGGGTCCTATTTCCTTCCATGCTTCTCTCTCAGCTGTGTAATGAAAGGAAGATGCATGTACAGAGGCAGAGCCTATCAGGAGGTTACTGTTAGCAAATAGTTCAGAACCAAAGGCAGATGGAGCCATGTGTCTAGTTTATTAAGCTATGAGTAAATATTGCATGCAAATAAAAAGCATGAATGACTAAATACTTATATTTGTCCTGCACTCATTAGTCCTGGAAGGGCTTCAGTAAAAGTCTGTGTGTGTGTAAAGTGACATTGGTCAAAACTCCTGAAAAATATAAGAGGGGGTTGTCCCAAAATCAATTCATTCTGTATCAGAAAAGGCCCAAAACGTTCCTCCATCCTGCACCTGGTGCACATCACATATTCATCACTGCTAGCGCTAACTCAAACTGAGGCAAATGATTTCATATCTAACAGGACAGTTAAGCAGCACAGTGTCAATTTTCATACTGGCTTCCTGGATTCTGAATACTGATATGTGTGGACGTCTCTCTGGATGTAAAGCAGAGAAGGGTGTTCTGAGTGAATGTAGAGGGCAGAGTCTCCCAGAGAAGCGGTTTTGCTCACCTCACATATCTGAACAATGTGTCCTGCAGCCCTGCACATCAAACAGGCTAATAAACTATCACTCTATATGCTTACATGTGATTGGTTATGTGGCTGAAAATTCTTTAACAGCAAAGTCAAAGGTTATGATCTACAGAATAATGAGCCATTGTTTTGAAAATTAACTAAAATAAGTGCAATTAGCTTTTTGTCTGTTTTATGAAATGTAAGATTCAAATAGAAACTGATAAAGTGTAAATAGTTGTCAGATGCCTGCTGCTCGTAGAATATCATTAAATGATTTCAGGTTTTTCTACATTATATTTATGGTGTATTGAAAGTGGAGAAAATGAATCAGGAAGAAAAGCCCCACCTTTCTGTCACACGTGCTATAGCTCATATTCAAATCCCTCTGACAATGTTGCATATTTTGAGGCTTTCTAAGTCAGTAAAGTGACAATAATTGAGGACATATTTTGGACTGTGGTGATGATATGATTGATGTCTGTGGTGGAAACATGAAGCCTCTCAGGTGATTCACTCTCCTCTCAGGTCTCAGGAGAGAGCAGGAGGAGTGATCCGAGGATTAGGAGGAGTGTTGTAGTCCCTGCAGTGATTAAGTAAGACCTAAATAGACAGACTTCCTTTTCTTTAACAGCACATGAGAGAGAAAGGGGGTCAGAGACACGATTTAATACTTTAAAATGTGTTTTTCTCAAAAGACCTGCTGAATAAAGTGTCTTGAGCTACGTCATGCATGTCACTATTCCAGCTAGCTCCACTTCTGCACCCACTGTACTTCAACACTGTACAGACTCCAGTGTGAAGAGTAGTTGAGAGTATTAAACCAATCAGAGGCTGGAGAGGAAATGAGCTTAAATTGAATAAAATCTGATCCAGAG